AACTATGTTTGTGTTTTGTTCTTTTCTGTTGAGAACCTGTGATATTGCGGAGTCCTTAATTAAGGAAGAATTATGTAAGATCTATAAAACAAACTTATCAAACACTAACCCTTATCCTTGATTTCTGAAAGAACATTTTCATTCACCGTAGAGGCAAAACAAGTTTTCTTCAATAATTCAATGTAACACTTGATGAGTGCCGCACAATATATACAACTTTAAAAGAAACGTAATATGAACAATTGTAAAATTGAAGTTAAAAATGTGTGCACCCAGCCTGAGAACCATTTCCTGAGAGTTACAGCTGCAGTGCAGAACAGAGGAATATACCTAACATACTGTAAATCTCTCAGATTGTGGAGGTTAAACTCATTTGGATTAAGAGTAAATGCCATCGGACAGTCTCAGGTTTCCCACAACCTTTTAACAGAAAACCAACGAGGCTCTGTCAGATTAAGATGTCTCATAGGAAAGGGCCTCCCAAGCAGCAGTTAAATATCAGTGTAAGACCAAGTGTGATGCTTATCTTAAAGTTATTCGTTTCATTAAAAACAACAAAAGGTTAGGGTTTGCCTTATTACAAAACCAACAGCTACTCATCATTTACGATCATCCTGACATTTCAACTTGCAGGATGTGTGGAGGTGTGTTGCGCTTTCACAAGAAATTGCATCTACCACAATCACTTAATACAAATTAGAAACTAGCAACAGAAACTGAACAAACTGAAACAGGTTTCTGGTAATCTAATTAAAAGTTAATTTGTGGAGGCCTCCCAAATTAAAATCTAGCGCTTACCTACTTTATTTGAACTGCATTTAAAAATACTAGCAGCGCTATACATCAATATTACATTGTCATCAGATATTAGAATAGATATCATTTTAGTTTTTTGATATTCCTTGTTTTAACGGCTGAATCAAAGTGAAGTGAAGTAATGTCGTTTTCTATCTCAGATTCTGAACAGTATCAGAGACACATTGTTTGATGTTGTCTTTATTATTGCAACTTAAAATGTAGGTCTATTTGTAGTCTATTTTAAAGTATGTGTTCCACTAGGTATTTACATCATATTGTTGCAAGAGAGTAATCAATTGTTTGTATGTACGTGTGATAATGCTAAAGGTAAAACACTTGTCAATGTTACTCAAGTTGATTGACAGATACATATTATTCTTAATGTCCCTTGCATGGGGAGATGTCCTGCTTTTCTCTGTTTGATATCGTATCAAACTGAATATTTGGGGTTTTGGACGGACAAAACAAGACATTTAAACTCATCACCTTGGACTTTGAGAACCTGGATGAAGATTATTTACTATTTTCCAAAATGTTCTATAGAAAAATATTAATCAATTTATCTTGAAAACAATCAGCAGATAAATAATGACTTGATTGTATTTAAAACAATTTTATTCATGATTTTATAATTGCATTTCTATTTTAGATTTTGCGGAAACTCTTTACATCATCTGTCTTGAATTGTCAGTCTGTATTTTTACATATTTAGGCAAGGACTCTCTTGAAAGGGATGTTTTATCTCAATGAGGCTTTGCTTTTTAGATCAAGTATAACTAAACCTTAATCTACCGTAATACCTTTTGGCATTTTGTCCCACGGTGGGAGTTAACCTAGTAGCTGTGTTTGCCAAGTACTACCATCCATGCAGACCAGCAAACACTAAAAGCTGTAATCCTTTATCAGGGAGAAGTGGAAGAACCACCCTGGGCAGCTGTCCAACATAGAGGCTCCTTGGAGAAATCCGGATGTGTACATACCATAAACTAGAAAGGGTGCAGCAGCACAATAATGACGTGCACATTAGAATACAAATAATATGATCAGTTATTTTGGCACCATGTTTCTTTAAAGTTACAGGCTGCCAACGCTCTAACTGTCTGCTCATTAAAATACCTTGAGAGGGTTTATCTGTAGCAGCAGCAGCACCAGGCAGTGCCAGGCACATCAAACTCATTCTTCACAAACAGCGGTAGAACAAGTCTTCAGCACTAACACCGCCATGTGAAAATACTCAACTACAAGTCAAAGTCATGCGTTCAAGCCTTACTTAAGAAGTGGTATGTAAGTGTTTAGCCAAATGTACTTAAAGTTAAACTCATTATATATGATGTTTTTTGGATCAATCAATCAGTTGCATTTTATTGCTGTAGATGTTGTGTTAAAGTGACCTCATTTATATAATCAATGTATCTTTGTGTCCAGTCCAGTTTTCAGCTTTGTTACAAACAATGCATTTTTCAGCTGAAGTGCTTTTTATATGCTTTATTTAACTTAAGAGGTCCTCAATCCATAAAGGAAACACTTTATCCTTTAGATAAAGTGTATGAAAACCTGGAGAGTAACGTTGAGACACAAATGTAGTACAAAATAGTAGCCAACTATATTTACTCCTGAGGTGTAGTGGACAATGCCACTTCAAATGAAGGCCTGTACAAACATTAAACGTAAATAACCAAGTAAATAACCCTTAGGCCTACCTTGAATTTGTACTTAAATATGAGCTACTTAGTTAATTTCAACTACTGCCAACAGACCTACATTCTATGTAACAAACACACATACTCAAATCAATTAACCGAAACAAATGTAAATGAGTGTAATGACCCTCAGCAGGTCTTCATGTGGCTGTCCTGTTAAGTACCTGTTAAGTAACAAAATAGTCACTTTGTTTTTACTTTAACACTTAACAGGATGCCAGCTTCCTCTGTCAGACATACGCAGTGAACATATTGATGCAAACAGCGTTATAAATGTTTAAAAAAACCTGCAGTCCATTTCCGAGAAACCAAATGTTTTACTTGTATAAACAATGGTGTTTAATGTGGGATAAACAAACAACTCTTACAGGAGGATAAGGCAGGTGTAACATTGTTCCCTACGCCACGTTATTGTTAATGTTTGAGGGGTGAATTTAACAAGTTTGGAGGCAGAAAGTGTGTAAGAGATGCCGATAATCGAGTGAATTTAAGTTGTTAGTGAACTTTCAGCCCCTCGCTAACTCCTGACAGATGCTACAGACCGATTTCTTCGATTTCCTGAAAACATGTGAACATACTCACCAGCCCCGGGGCGTTGCTGCAGCGCACTGAGTCCCGCTGGTAAAAGTTAAAAAAAGTTTTACAAAGTGACGGTTTTAGACTTTAGATACGGGGATAAATGATAACTTCACTCTCCGTCGCCTCTGGGCCAATAGTTGACATGAGCTTCATTAACACTGAACGCCTGCTTCACTTCCCGTGGAGAAACAGCTCCTCCTCACTGAGCCACTGTAGGGAGCCTCCGTTACTGCAGCATTACATCTAACGCAGGGGTGTCCAAACTATGGCCCGGGGGACAAATGCGGCCCGCGGACCATTTTGAATCAGCCCTCAGCAAATTCAATAAGTATGATGAAATATGGCCCACAAATGAAACTTCTGCTTGTCTTGTATTGTAGGCTACTTCTTAAATATAAATGTTCAAATATATTACACAGTATTCATGTGTTAACAAGACCACTTTTCTAATAAAGTCAGTCAATTAAAGTTGAAAACATTTTCTAAAAAATCTAAGTTGATAACAAAAAAGCCCAATGATACATTTACATAACAACCTTGAAATATACCTTTCATATTTCCTATAATTATAATCAATCTGAGGCGTCTGTTTTAAGGAATGAGCTGCCAACACTTTTTGTAACAAAATAAATGATGGAGAGCTGTGATGTAGGCTGTTATTTTCTTCAAGCATTTTCAAGTATCAAGAATGGTTTACCTACATTTGATTGATTTTTCCAACTTTTAACTGAACTTATGAGGCAATATACCTCACCTCTAGGGAGTGGCCACGCCTTTCGTATATTTTTCTGTATGTGGCCCTCGGTGAAAAAAGTTTGGACACCTGTCTAACGCAACACATCTCACAGGGACATACGCTGGGGTGGAGAAGTACTCAGATCTTGTACTCAACTAAAAGTAAAAGTACCAGAGTGTAGGAATACTCTGTTACAAGTAAAAGTCCTGCAATCAAAATGTTACTCATGTAAAAGTAGAAAAGCATTAGCATCAAAAAAGTGCTCATTAGGAAGATTGGCCCCTTTCACAATCTTATATAATATATGTTCTTATAGTAATTATTTATACATTAAAGTGTGATAAATGTGCAGCTAGTTTGACTTTGTATACTGCAGGGTAGCTTTTTAATCTTTTAACTTGTTAATGCTATTTTATTTATATTTCTAAATCTGAAATATATTGGACTGTTTATGTTGTGTGTCTTAGTTTCTCTTATGTACATTGCCTTGTGCTTTTTATGCTGCTGCAACGCAAATATTTCCCAAACTGGGATCAATAAAGTATCTATCTATCTATCTATCTATCTAGCTAGCTTGTGAATTTTACTCCAGGTGTAACTAAAGTCTTATTTAAGTGTTGCTTATATCTCACATAATAATCCGAATCTAAAAAGTAGTTACACAATAAAAGTATTGGAGTAAAAGTATTTACGATTTACCTCTGAATTGTACTGGGGTAGAAATACAAAGTAGCATAACATGGAAATACTCAAGTAAAGTACAAGTATTTCAAAATTGTACTTATCTACAGTACTTGAATAAATGTACTTAGTTCCCTCCCACCTCTGAAAATGAGCATATACTTTTTATCACACACATTCTACCTGACATTTACTTCAGTTAAACACGTTCTTCTTTTAATAGTAAACCATCTTCAGGTTGAGAAACAATCTTGCAATCTTACTGTAATTGAATAAAAGTAGGCCTACACACATATCAAGATCAGAATATATTTATAAATATATATTTTATTACATTTCTAGGTATTTCACTCACTATAGGCTTATCTCTGAAAATCCTATAGGACAATAAAACACGATATTTACTTACAAATACAAATCTCTTCAAGGAGACAATGACAACTTAATGGTTACGTGCCTGAACTACTTTCGATGCATTATATTTCATATTAATGTATTTAATTTTGAAGAACAAAATGTGGACCATTTTTAGAGTTAATCCCTGTTGCAATGTAAATCTCAGAGGGAGTCCATGACTAAAGTATTGTACTGTGCATTGTTTCTTGTATTGTTGTATTTTCATTGTAATTTTTAGCACTTTGAATACAATTTTGCAAAAGAGGCACTATACAAATAAAGTTTTTACTTTACAGCACCGCAGGGCTTTAAATCGTATTTATTGGCATATTTAGACAAATATTAAGCTTTTTTGTTTTCATAAAGCCACAATGCAACATAATTTCTCTATATATTCAATAAATCACATAGCATTGAGGGTTTGTGTAAGCTAAGTGATTTAATGAATGTGAGTTTCTCTTTGAAATGATTGGAGATAAAAACAAACATATAAAACAAAACTTTTGACACATCATTTTGAAATAGATGATTATTCAAGACGTGAAATTATTAAATGTTTTATTTTGTCAATGAACAATCACACAAAGGACCCCAAAGAAGCATAAATCCGTGCAGGCCTTTGGTTCAGCCTGCAGCCTCTTATGTTGATCTTCTGGTTTCTGTCTGTGAAGTATTTCCTTGAAGGGGTGAAATATATAAGTCTGTTTCTTTTGGTTTCTGTGGCACATCCTGGTTTTGTTGTTCTGAGGTCTTCGGCTCCAGTTGAGGTGCAAAAACAGGGCTGAAGATATAAACACCACCAGCGACTCCAACCAGTGTGGCGAAGAGGACATCTGCAAAGGGTATTCTTCTTCGAAACATGACTTCTTTTAATATGAAATTCCAATTTCCAAACACAGGATGATTCTGAAAGAAGAGTACAAAGTTGTTATCCAAGACAGTTGATTTAGATACTTTGAATTATAACCATTATTTGTGCACCCCCTTTGCTCTGTTGAATGTTACATGTTCTTGCAAAATGTTAAGCATAACTTGCAGCATGCATGTTGTCAGCTACTCTTCATGCAGTGCAAGGTAGCTGTGTTGCTGGACTGAATTGTGTGTTTTGAGGTTGGATTTCCTGTTCTATCATCCTCAGAGAAACTGGTGCAAGATTGTTTCCAAATTACCATTTAAACCGAAGCCAAGACGCATATCACTACAATCCAAGGAGGACTGACGTTGATCCCGAAACTGAACAATGTCCCTTCACCTTAGTTGGTATTTTTTAGGAATGTATACTAAAAAAATGCGTAATGGCAGATTTACCTGTAAAAAAAACCCTAATGGAAGTAATTGATCAAACATCAACATTTTGCACGGGAACAACTCGCCTATGGACTCCCAACTGATACAGGGGAGGCTCAGATATGGAAGAACATATTACTTTATCATAAGAGCAAACAATAGCCTAAATACTTTGGATTTGGTAAAGAAGATACAGTAGTGGGAAATTCTACAATTTTTGCTTATTTTCTCATAATCAGAAACTAATAAATGTCTTCCAACAGATTTTGTAATATAGTCTGAATGTATGTCAAACAGTAATACTATGCTGTCTTGGCTCAGTTGTGCAGTTTATTTGGTGTCAAACAACATACATCCTGATTCATAAGCCTTCAGTTGTACCTTATGGTTTTAAAAAACATTACAAAAGTGATCTCTAACCTAAGGTGACCAGATTTTCAAAATTAAAACCGGAGACATTTTGAGTTTTGCGGTCAAAATATCATAACCATTTCCAATTTTCTTCACTGTTAAAGAAAAAAGGGAGAACTGTTGGATGCAAACAGAAGGACGATAGCTCATATATGAGACTTCAAAGTTATTTTATTTTGAAACTGTATATCAGATTGTCCTGATTCTCTCTGAGTAACTAGATGGGGCGTCCTTCTATCACCCTGAAGTGAAATAAGTATTTGATTGACTTTGAATGACTCTTTGATTATGGACAGTTTCCATTAAATAATAATCAAAATATAGATGGACAATAGATCTAATTTGAGATTTTAAACAGCATACATTTTAAATTGTGCTTCAGAAAGTAATGTTATTTTAGGAGTGTTGTGAGATGGTGTCAAATTAGTCACCCAGTGGAAATGTCAGATATGTCTTCATAACTGTATCCTTACATTTTACATTCACTCAGTTATAATGTGGTAGTTATACGTAGTTTGTTTTAAATTATTATTTATCACATTATAGAGCACATATTTCTTAATTTAAGCTCCAGTATATATGAATATGTTTGGTTTGTTTTTTAGGTATATTTGTTATTGACCGAGTAAACGCTTTTATTTTGAAGGCAGTTTTTACAGGCCTCTACCGTAATGCATAGGATATTTGCGCACCGCAATACAATGTGCGGGCTGGCTTGACTGACTGTGTTTTCCGAAGTCGGGGCTGGCTTGACCACAGTCTGTTTACCCAGTGTTTCCTGACATGAAACGTTGTATTTCACCTTGCTATGTGTTTTTAACGTATATTAAAAAACCGGGGACATTTCCGGGGACAGTTTCAACCAGGGACATGCCAATACAAACGGGGACTGTCCCTGGAAAACGGGGACGTCTGGTCACCCTACTTGTAGTATATAGTGCTATTCTAACCTGACATTACAATGATTTACATTTAGACATTTAAACGAGTCTTGTTTTGAAAAAAGACCGTAAATGCACAAACAGCCTCTGAAAGCTTGATCGTTTTGTAACCATTAGGCTGCTAAAAACAACTCAAACATGACAATTTAACTGCTTTAACAGCGATGTTGTCATATTTATAAAAACTCACCGAGGAAGCGGTTTGTTCAAAGTGTCTTGGATCACCACATTCAGACAGACAGGAGAATACAGAGGTGAAAACACAAGATATATAACTGCAAGGACACCAACGAGCAGCGGGCAGGCAAGCTCTCTTTTTCTTCTTCTGTTCTGAATTCTGACTGAACAGCAGCGCGCGTTAGTCCGCTATCTAGTGGAGGAACGTGGGAAATAATAACAAAATAATAATATGCAGCATGCTGTATATAAATATATATATATCAATAACAAATAATACATAAATAAATACTAAAATAATAGTAATACTACTACTACTAAAATTAATAATAATAATTGTTTCAAGAAATATCAAATTAAAATTAATGTTGGTTACATTTTTGTTTTCAAAATATCCTTTTGCGTGCATGAGAAAAGCGCACGAATATCCTGTCTGTCACATTACAAAAGGCGAAGGGTCCCCTTCAAATTTCAGTCTCTAAAATATATACATATATATATATAAAATCTGCAACCGGTTAAACTTGTGAATATATATACATTGAGTGTATTGTAAGTAGAAAAATGGCCCATCTGTTACTAAAGCATATTATCTAACAACACAATGCAGGATCCCTTTATTTTGAAATCAGGAATCAGAGTTCCAGCGGAAGTAAGTCTGAGTGCGGAAGCGCAGTCAACATAATACCACAGTTCTGTGATACTGAAGTTAATGTGGATTAATCGTGTTTTAGTTTAAGATGTGAACGTTTAATACCGTGGGATCAATAAACGGAAGCAGTGTGCAGACTGTCCACACGCAGCGCCCAGCCAATAACTAACACCTTACGTAATTTCGAGTATTTAAAAATAGTAACATTGTGTTGAAGAGTTGACTTAGCACACCTGACTGACTGACACCTGTCTATCAGGTGTCCTGCAGCAGACACTATGTCCTGATGGAGAACATCCGATCGCGTCTAAATATTGGGAATAAAGTGGAAGATGTGAAACTGCGGAAACGAAAATCGCAACTATACTCAAAGGAAGATGAAAACATTCTTAAGGACGGTGGGTTCATCCTTGTATGTCAGACAATGGGGACTAAACAACTTATCATAAAACAAATCAAATGATATATTAATCATGTCATCCACAGGGGAGCTGAGAAGAGTGGTTCTGTTTTCTGTGGCCTTCAGACTGATAAACTGCTTGCTGGTGCAGACCAGCTTCGTCCCTGATGAGTACTGGCAGTCTCTGGAGGTTTCCCATCGGATGGTCTTCAAATATCCTTTACATTAAGTATTACCTGCAGATATGTGCCTCTACTTACTATGCATTATTATTGTTAGAGCAGTGCCAAGTCAAGTCTGTTTATAAAGGACATTTTTTACAGGTCAGTGGGCTTCAAAATAAAATAAAATCAATCATTGTTTTTATTATTCTTCCTCTAAATTAATACATTACATACATTATTAGCTTAAAAAAGCTCTGGTTTGAAATGTTCAGAGCACATGAAAGGGTATTGCATATGTTTGGATAACATAAATGACATTAAACACCATACAAGATAACAAGGTATTACAATAAAAAGGAAATAGGATAAGCCATAATTATTGTTAGTATTATAACCATTATTACTATTCTTAACAGAAATAATACTCATTATTTTTGTCTTTTAAAACTTTAGTTCTGGTTGTAGATATTTCATCAACCCAATAAAATTGTATACATTAAAACAACAAGTTGCATTAAAAGGAACATCTAAAATCTGAAACCTGCTGAATGGAAGCAGATTCTTTTTTAAATGTTTGTTCTATCCCTGTATGCTGATCGAACCTTAACAGAGTGACTTATGGGTATCTGACCTGGGAATGGAAGGAAGGGATAAGAGGATTCACCTATCCGCTCTTCTTTGCATTCATATACAAGATATTACACTTCCTAAACTACGACTCAGTCTTTCTCCTGGTGTGTTCACATACTTTCTATTCAGACAACTTCAATATTGCATGTCTTTGAGCAAATATATTTTCTTTTGTCCCTTCGTTTCACTAATCCTGGTCTGTTTGGTTCTGCAGATATGGCTACCACGAATAATTCAAGCACTCTTCGCTGCTTTTGCAGATGTAAAATTCTTCTACCTCATCCGAACTTTGGAAAGACGTGACGTTGCAAATTGGACGGTAAGGAGTTCATCTCGGTTTTTCAGGAAATGTACAAGTTACAGCTTGCACTGGATTGGCTTGTGATAATCTTATTTCCTTAGATCAAAAGACATATATAACTTTTTCAATTTCCAACTTTTCTAAACTTAATTCAGACATCATTAACTAGCAGCATTTTACAACAACAGAGACAGTCTGGGTTTATGTGACCTGAAAACAGGTTTGGGCAGATTGTTGCTAAATGGATTGCAACATATTTCACTACTTTCTCAACAGCTGACTCCTGGAGAATCTTTTATTTGTTGCTGAGTCGAGAACAGATTACAGGCACAATATGTCTCACACACAGATTAAAATACAAATATCTAGCTATGAAATAAAACCACTACATGTAATATTACAGCTAGATCAAATTAGTTTTTGTCATGGGAAAATCTATTTTCTTAATTTGAATTCATATTAAAAATGAATTCCAACCACTATGAATACATGTTGCAAATTATCCTTGCTTTCTTGGCTATTCAGTATACATTTCAAACTAATCCAATGGCTAGTAAGAAATTGGTGAGGCTTTAAATACACAGTTTAAAAGTTTAGAACTAAACATATATTCAGGGTAGAACCATTTGATTTCTCCCATTAATGGATATTTTTGTCAGGATGCATGACATGAACTGGGAGGTTATGCTGGGTTGTTAAGTAATTCAGGTATTGAAGGGTTGGCTATTGCCCTTATACAACACAAGGAGGCCCAATGAAATGCAGCTGCAGTTAGTCCACTATGTTACATAAGCAAACATGACAAAACACAACAGCACAAACTCACAGTAAGGCACCGACCAACTTCATTTCATCCTCCAATCAGATCTTTCTTTGTGTTCAGATCATCCCAGGTTTTTGTACATTCATACAGGACTTTGTCACTTCTCCTTGTTGTGTTTGTCTCCAGTTCTTCTGCCACATGTGCTCGTGGTTCTCTTGGTTCTGCTGCACCAGGACCCTCACCAACAGCACGGAGACCACCCTCACCTCTCTGGCTCTCTTTTACTTTCCCCTCCCAAGATCCAAAACTCACAGCAGGTTTGGCTTGTGGCTTCATGTTTAATTAATCCCCCCATCTTTATAAAGATGATTTACTAACACAGTGTCTCTCCAGCAAAATATACCTGAGCCTGGTCGCCCTGGCAGTCATCGTCCGCCCCACGGCCCTGATCGTCTGGTTCCCTCTGCTGATGTACCATTTCTGGCAGGAGAATGACAAACTGAGGCTCATCACTCATACGGTTGTTCCTATAGGGTGTGTGCTTTATATCTCCCATCATCTCATTATACATGTAATCCTTATCTCTTTATTTCATGATTAGTTTTCTTTCTTTCTCATTTCCAGAGCTGTGGCTGTTGTGATTTCAACACTGATCGATTGCATATTTTATGGAAAGGTAAAAAATATAATCAGAGCTGCAACAATTAGTTGATCGACTGAAAAATGCGCACCAACTATCTCCAAAAAAATGATCTGTTACATTTGTACTTTATTGTTATACCATATTAAACTATACATTGAAAGACGTCACATTGAACTTTAAGGAACTGGAATAAACGTGTTTCTCTACTTTCTGTAACTGATTAGGCCAAACACTTAATCTCAAAAATAATCTGCACATTTATTGATAATAATAAAACTGTTTTAATTCAGCCATAGAGAAAACCCATGTGAAGTTTAGATCACATTCACAGCGGCTTTTTAAGTTGAATGTAACAATGTGATTTCACTTTTTGTTTCTCAGTGGACCGTGGTGCAGTTTAACTTCCTGAAGTTTAACGTCTTCCACGGTGTGGCAGATTTCTACGGCTCTCACCCCTGGCACTGGTACTTCTCTCAGGGCTTTGTCGTGGTGATCGGTCCTCATCTTCCGCTCTTTCTTCACGGGTGCAGCCTCGCTTTCAAAAGATACAAAATCCTGCTGGCAGCGATCGTCTGGACTATCGTGGTCTACAGGTAAATGTCTGTGTTCACATTAACAAACCAAAATTCATTAAACCTCTAAGAATTACACTCAATAGTAACCTACCCTATAGAGAGAGACGTCCCTTGCTTCTAATAACAATGAAGGGTTTTTCTGTTTATTGACCAACAAATTAACACAGGTCAACACTTGACAACAATTTGAAGTGCAAATGATATCTAAAATAAAACAATCACAACTAATAATAAAAGGGAATATTAACTAAACAGCTGTGGGTCTAAAACTGACTTTACATAATTATATATCCTTTAAATAATTCCAAACTATCCCTTTTAAGACCCAAAATGTCCCTTTCCTCAGTTTGAGTAATACAGGTCCAGATCAGTCATGATGTTTTGCTTCTCGACGGACAAACTAACCTGTTTTGATCTTCTCCTTCAGTTTGCTTCCTCACAAAGAGTTCAGATTCATCTACCCAGTGCTGCCTTTCTGTATGATCTTCTGTGGTAAGTTTTCACATCCCACATGTATTTGTGATTACAGCCAGACGTGTGTTTTAATACTTCTTCTACTCCAGGGATATCTCTGGCCAGTCTGAAAGCGTGGCGGCGAGCTGCTGCGACCGTCCTGTTGGTGAGCAACCTGCTGGCAGCGCTGTACACCGGGCTGATCCACCAGCGAGGCTCTCTGGACGTCATGAGCCGCCTGCAGACGCTGTGTGACGTCAGAAACATCTCCACCATGCAGCCGGACGTCCTGCTGCTCATGCCCTGCCACTCCACGCCTTATTACAGGTAGAGAAGTGTTGTAAAAACTGCACACCCACAACTCTGATGCAAATAGTTAAAAACAGTTTTGAGTTATTTAACGTTGTTCAAAGCTTACGTTTCAAATTTAAGATCAGGAAACTTTTATAAAACATTTGCACCTGTAGAGCTCCAGAATAGCCGTTAAAAGGGAGGTGACGTTTATTTACTTACACTAATATCCATTATTATTAGGGTTCGGTTCGGTATAGTTTACAATGTTATTATCAATACCTTTTAGCAGAAAATGTAACATTTCAGTTAAAGAATATTAACCGTTTTTTCTAAATAACCCTGTTCAAATGACTAATCTAGCAAAATGTATTAATACAACATTGTTTCAGTGAGTCTTTAATGTAATGTGCAGCTGTACAAAAATAAGCCTGCACACAAAATAAACATTAAGAATAGTGATTTATAACAAGAGTAAGGCCAAGCTGTGACCTAAGTTTTTCATTGCCATATCTACACTGTAGCTTATGTGTAAATGACAATAGAGCCTTGAATTGAAGCTGGTAACATGTTTGTGTAGACTGTGCCAAAGTTACATCTTACATACATAGCTCTCTCTCTCTCTCTTTTTGCAGCCACGTGCACTGCCCGATGAAGATGAGGTTCCTCGAGTGTCCCCCGGACCTCGGAGAGGAAGGTCACGTCGATGAAGCGGACCGGTTCTACGAGGACCCGCTTCACTGGCTCAGAACTTCATTTCCGTACAAATCTTCTCTACCAACCCATCTGGTTCTGTTTGACGTTTTGGAGAAAGTGAGATCTTCACAAAGTGTATTTATGTTATCTATTTGTCTAAATGAATGTGGGATTTGTATTTATGTAATGTGTTTTTTTGTTGCAGGAAATATCCGTGTTTTTGCAGGGGAATAACTTTGCGAGGACAGCAGAGATGTTTCATACTCACTTCCCCGAGGGGAGAGTTGGAGGGAGCATCTTTATATATGAAAGGCACTGACACTGGAACAATGGATCCTGAATGAGATTGTAAAAACATGAAATTGCTACTGAAATAAATGTGGTGTGTCATTTTTCTCTTCCAGTAATTTCTTTCCCAACACTACCCGCAAATAAAAAATAAAAATAAAACTCAGGTCCAGTAAAAATAGGCTTCATGTGGAATGTTAGAACATAGCCTCTTTACAATGAAAGCAAACTCAGTCACACACATCTGTCTCTGTAGCAGCGAATTAAAACAACTCCTACAAATACTTACAAACATTCATCTTAAAACAAGCTCTGCATTCCCAATAAACATTTTTAAACATTATGTGCTGTGGTTGAAGGTGAGTGCAAATGGTGTTTTAGCACTGTATCATATATGACCCATCTTAAACTCAAACGTAACAGCTACTTCAAACAGCAAAAACAGCTCAAGAAACTTCAGTAGCATTAAAAAGTTAACATTGTGCAAACAAGTTGGACATAGCAGGTAAATACAACTCAAAATGGAATTGGCTAATCAAATATATTATCAATATTTGGGATCAAACGGCAGCGGACCCAGTTCTATTTTGACGTCGGCCATGTGTCGGTCTGCGTCTCTTCCTGAGCGGCTCGACGTGCGCTCGCCGTGCGGTCGGGGTCTCGCCCTCTGCTTCCGCTGCTGATGCTGATGCTTCGCCTTCGACTCCTTTGGGTCTGTGTCGGGTCCTTCAAACGGCCCGCTGCATGGTTCAAAAACAAGACATCAAAAGCATGAATACTAGTATTTTGTGTTTAACTTGAATAAATGAGCACTAAAGAATGAAGGGATCCTAACTGCTGGGAGGCTGACTGCAAAGACAAACTCCCATGATCCCTTGCACTCAACCAAACTCTGAATGTTGTGATTGTTGAAAAGGAGAACCCACAGCGTCAGAAAATTACAGATCTTGCGTCTGAAATTACAACCTTTTCCTGCTTTAACTTATCATTATGAAGTTCATTGCACAATGTAATGTCTCAAGGATAATGACATCATCTGTGCTTAGATCTGTAAAATGCAATCCCGTCTGCAAGAGGGAACGATCTTCCAGAAAATAAGTCTCTTCCCTTAAGGTCCCTGCACATTTCTGATGGCCAGGAAATTCATCACTTTCCAAACTTCACTGTAGATTCTTCCGACCACTTGTCTTGCATTTGCCCTCCCATATGATTTACCATGGCTGCCTCCCACTTCTTTAAGATCTCAAATGATTTCATATAGATGGAATCCAACTCTCTTTTCCTATTTGGCATTGTAATGAGCACTCCGCTCTGCATCAGCCAAACGGCTCGCTGCACCCGCACTGCGAGGGGGACCCAAGTTCCCGTCAGCAAAGACACGTGGGTTTGCTATCCTGGCTCCAAAATGGTGGAATGAGCTCCCCATTGAAATCAGGACAGCAGAAAGCTTACACATCTTCCGGCGCAGACTGAAAACTCATCTCTTTAGACTCCACTTCGAGCGATAGAATTGCTAACAAAGAACTGCTAACAAAGGACTGGTTTATCTAAAGCCAGTTGAGTAGCACTTGAAATGTTTTAGCTCTATGAAACCAGATGTACTTATATGATTCTGTTTTCTTCAAGTTTGTATCTTCTTGGTCGAATGCACTTATTGTAAGTCGCTTTGGATAAAAGCGTCAGCTAAATGTAATGTAATGGCAGCCCTCAGAAAATGTTATTTATTTACACATTGTGGCGGTTTGATACAAAGTCCTGAAAGAAGCTCTCGGGGAAAAGAGCCCTGAACTGCAAATACTTACGAGGATAGCTTTTCATGTAATCAATAAGATTTAAGTTTAGAAGTGTACCAATTACACCAAATATTTTTTCCCCCAACATCAGATCTTCTTGTATAACTGGAAAACTCTTTTGGATGATTAGGAATGAGATTGACGTTCCACAGAAAGCTTGGACTTATTTCCTAATTAAGATGGGCTACTTTTTAAAAAGATAATTGGGACTTACTTTGGGCCGTGGCTTTTTCTGTAACCCTTTCCAAAGAAGTGTCGGTAGACGAAGTCGTCGAGATCTCTGAACACGTCGTCGTCGAGGCCCTGATACTCGTGCATTTCTCTCAGGTAGTTTTCCACCCCGCTGACAAAGTCCGTGAAAAGCATCCGGTCGTGGATGAACATGCCGTTGTGGAAGAAGTTGTTGATGAACTTCTCGAGCTCCTCCCAGTGGTGGAAGTGGTCGACTTCCTGCTGCAAGTAGCTCCGCAGCAGCTGGTTGAACTCGTCCGCTCTGATTGGATCCATGGCTTTGTCGAAGAGACTCTTGGACTCCTGGAAGGCGCAGTCGAACACTCCCGAGCATCCTTTGTAGTTTGCCTTGTGGGAGTCTTGACCTCCATCTCTGTGAACTTTATCTCCTGATTTGCGGGTGTTGTGGCTGCTCTCGTGGTGTGTGCGCTGCTGTGTGTTGTGAGTGGATCTGTGCTGCCACTCCTCCTTTGTGTTCTTCTCGCCACGTCTCTTCTCATAAAAGCCTCCTGCATTTTTAAAGAGGGTCGAGGCCGAGTCTTTGAAGTTTTTGAACGTTGATTTGACGGAATCTGAAAACTTCCTCAGGTTTTCCTTCACGGCGTCTTTTGCTTTCTTTATCTGCTCTTTGTGGTGATGGACGAACTCCTTGGTGGAGTTTTTCACAGCGTCAAATGTCTCTTTAACTTTTCCTGCCGTGCCCCCTTTCTGACTTTTGACTTTGGGCTCCGTGTCTCCTTTAGCTCTCTCCTCTTTGGTTTCCAGGTAGAGCCTCTCCCACAGGTCAGAGCGCTGCTGCTCGAAGCTCAGCCTCTTCTCCAGCTCCGTCAGACGGGCCTGGAGCTCCTCTGTCTCTGCCTCCTGATTGGCTCTGGGGAAGAGACTCCTCAGCTCCTCTAACTCTCTCCTGAGCTCCTCTGTAACTGTTCTCTGCTTGTTGAGCTTCTTCCTCAGTGTCTGGGTTTCAGCCATCATGTCTGCCCTCTGGCTGTGAAAGCTGCGGATCAGCTGTTTCTCCCCCTCCAGCTCGTCTAACAGCCTCTCGTTTTCAGAAAGCAGCGAGTCAGCACCGGCTCTCATCGCCTCCTGATCTCTGAGCTTGTTCAGCTCCTCCTGCAGGGCGGCTAGAGACGCTTCTTTATGTTGTAGGGAGTTCATCAGCAGAATGTTCTCAGCGGTCAACAGGTGCTGCTCGGACACCATCAGGTCAGTCTGCTCCTTCTGTCTCAGCAACATCTCCAGCTCCTCTCTCTGGGCCTGAAAGGAAGAGAAAGAGAGGAAATGTTATGGCTTATAAGGAATGAAAATCGGTACCACTTTTTTACAATAAGACTACCCTTATAAAGGATTCATAAAGGGTTCATAATTAGATTATTAATTAGGTTGTAAACACTTTATTAATCATTAACCTGTTAGGCCCCAAGCCTGTTTTTCAGGTCTCAGGCTCGAAAATGACATTTCCAGAACAAATGACCATATCTTCCCTTCTAAAAGG